CTTTGCAAAGAGGACACATCTGGTAGGAGGAAACTAATTCACAGAGGGCAAGAGGAGGAGTCTGGGACTTCTGAAGGATGAAGATCTAGATTCAAAACATCTGGAACCAAAGCACACACACACACACACACACACACACACACACACACACACACACACACACACACACACAGAGGCACACATCCTGGACAGAGGGGTTAACAGAGAGGGTTTACAGTGATCTTGTGTTGAGAACGACATGGACTATGCTATATGTAATAGGTTTAATGGATTCACGGAGACAGTGACAGAGCTGCCAGTGGGAGAATGATAACTGATACCAGGCCTGAAATGATCAAACCACTAAATGAAAGATGAGTTTGAGGGTTTAAGCTTCAACAGAGTCAGACAGCGTGATGTCAGCAGGGAGGTGGTTCCAGAGGACGAGAGCAGGATTGGAAAAGGCCGTGCAGCCTGCTGATATCTTTGAACACACACACAGGAGCCCTGTATTCTGATGGAGCCAGTGAATGGAAGCCTAAAGTGCTATGCATTGTTTTCTGCTGTTTTTTGCTGAAACTCTAGCATTCTAAAGACTTTTAGTAAGTATTTGTTGATCACACAAAGGCATTAATAAAAGTCCCCCTATATGCCATTGATATAAAATGAGTTTAATGCTTAATGAGTGAAAAAAGGCAGTCTTAGTGTCGTTATGTGCTGATCAAAACAGCATGTAGAATCAAATGTAAACTCCAGGCTGCTTTCAGACGTGCACTGAACTCTCCAGGATTTTCTCCAGAGGGACTGTATATGTATGAATCTAAATATCTGACTTCAGCTTTTGATTAAAACAAGTTTTTATTCTGTGACTATCATTTGTCTGATGCCTCAGCAACTTTAAAGACAATTCGTGTCACACTGTTCATTAATAAACTTCTGCACACTGATTAAATGTTAAGTGGTCTGTGTTTATAAGTGTTTTTTTGATGAAGTTATAGTTCTCAATTTCCTGCACACAATCAGCAGGTTACAGAAGATAATCTTAGGCTGGGGTTTGATTTGTGTTAGGAATAAATTAGATCCACTGGAAGTCGGGGTCTGGCAGTTGGGGCACATATCACATATTTACGTCTATGGTTCAATACTCTGCCTGTGCACCATTGTTGCCTGTTACAACCTTCTCTCTGCCCTTGTTTCCTGTCTTTGTCCAGACAGATCAGATTTCAAGGCTTCAGTCTGGACTGCTCAGCGGCGGCATTACAAAGCAGATATTTCATTTAAAACTGCAAATATTCTCATTGTCTGCACCAGACTACAAGTATTTTTATGCTTCCTGTATACTGAGCCAATGAAGAGTTGCAGGAACAACAGTAGGAGAGCGACGGAGTGACATAATGGAGGATGTGAGTCACTTTAAAACCCTCAGCCCTGTGACTCTGCGGTTTCTCATATCTGTCCTCAAAGGACAAATAGTAAGGATTTCTGCTCAGTAAGCACTTGGGAGAAGTCCGCTGGTGTGACTGGACTTACTGGAAAGGTGATTTTCACTAATTGTGGTCTCGGTCTTTTCCCCAAAGAGTGAAAGAGTTTTTTGGCAGCAAACTGCAGGAGTCTGTCACAACTGCAACATTTGGAGATTCATGCAAGCACTCCTTTTCAACTCTCCAGAATTAGTCTTTCTATTTCTCACAGCATCCTAAGATTCTGGCTGCAGGCAGACTTGGCAAACAAAGGGATTTTCCGTATTGCATCACTGAATCTTAGTTAAACATCTTCTAACCTTCAACTATTGAAATTCGTTTCTGTCCAATTCATCACAGTTTCTCTATTAACTAAACAAATGTATTATTTTTGTGTTGCCGCCATCATTTTGTAACAACCACAACAATATTTTTGTCTATCAATACTTCAGTTGTATTTCTTTCTGTCTGTCTGAGAAACTCAGAGTAACAAACCAGATGTTCTTATGGCTTCGGGACACATTAGCTCACTCTCCTGTCTCCTTCTCCTTTTCCTCTCATCTCATACTTCTCCACTTCCTCCACTATTTTCCACTGCTTTCCTCCTCTCTCCACCCACCTTCTCACCATTCATGTCTCCTCTGCTTTCTAGTATTTCCTGTCTACTGTCACAGAAGGTTTGGTAGGAAGCTAAAGCTGAGTCCCTGGATGTTGTAAATGTAACCACAATATTCAAACCACCGTGATCTCTTGATGCCATTATTTCTCCTCACATTTTCATCTGTCAAGACCAACAATAGACAGGGAGTCTAAAAACTAGGAACGGCGAGCAGACACTTCTTTGTTTTATACCAGTGCAAGAACAGTTTGTCTCACTCTCATGTAAGATAGGCAACACTTAACACCAGTTCTTGTTAATGGGCAGAAACACACAGCTTTCATTGACTCAGTTCCCTCACAGACCTGAGACAGTCCAGAAATTCAAGGCAAAGATCTTACACTTCTGTTATGTTGGACAAAGTGTTGGAAGAGGTCGGGGTGAAGCTGCGACAGTCTAGCATAGTAGACTGTCTCTTGTCTCTTGTCCTTGGGAAGTGCGAGAGCTTGGCGAAGGTCAAAGGCTTCACTCCCTAGACACCATAGATATGAGACTAAGCAGGCAATACTGTCTTGCGAACTAGAAAATACATTTACTTGTTTGGAACTAGCAGACCAATAGACTAAATGATCTGTAGGCGTTTAAAGTGTGACCACAGGAGATGAGACTTCAGAATAAGAGAGAGCATCATGCACAGATGTTGTATAGATGAATTCTGATTTTCTCCATGGCCAAGCTTCAATAAATATTTCAGCATAAGACGTCAAAGGGCTCCTGAACGCTTTCTTCARTGATGAGTTGACCATTGAGCAGCAGATTTTCCACAACTGATTAATTGATTGATAAATTGCTTGCCAAGAGCCGCCTTTGTTAGGAGTTGCTGAGCAAACTGCAGTAGAAGCAAAGAAAAGATAGAAATATAAGCAAACGTTGCCATTGCCATAGAGACAGGTCTTGGGGAGTAAAACAATATTGTCTGATGCTGAACTTGCAACATTTCTGTAAATAAATTGCTATGAATGCTAACATTGGCTAAGAAGCAATAGCAACACGTATTAACAATAACCTTACTCTACGTCTTGGAATATTTAACTTTTGTGGAACATCTGTTGTAGACACTTTAATCATCAGTTATATCAATTTACATCTGTGTTCTATTATAATGATGCAATCTGAAAATCAAATTGGGAGGGATCAACTGACACGTGTGTTTCCTCTCTTTTTTCACTCGTAGGTCAAGATTACACAGTTGCACAGTTCCAAGGAAAGTCTACATTGCACATTCCACCGAAAAATCAATAAAGGAAAACCATCTACGCTTTTTATTCCATCATACCTCGACTGTTATATCACCCTCGTCTACCTCAGCCTCCTGCACCAGACCAGCACTCTGAAAATCTGCAGCAGGATTTAAAATACATCTCACTTACGAAAAAACTCACTTTAAATTCAAATTGCACGATCCTGTTTTGTTCCTCACTCTTCCATCTTTTCTGTGACCGCTGACATTTAACCTTCACGCCTCCTTCTCATTTTCTCTCCTTTTCTTAGACTTTCCTCCCCTAAAAACCAGACAACCATCGATGCAGCATATCATAACTTTGTTTCGGTGAGGTATTTTTAGTGGCCATAGTAATTATTATGGGACCCAGGGAGTAAGTCAGTGTCAGGAGGAGGTTGTGGTGGATGGATGAGTCAACAAAACACAGAACTGTGACGGAGGACACCGCTGTTCATTTACCACTTGAAACCAGGGCATTGTTGTTTTACTAAACATGACCTTTCCACAACCCTAACCACATGTTTAGTTTAGTAGCCATGACAACAAAGGCCCTCTAAACTTAACCCTTCATGCTTAAACCTAATAAATAGCCTCGTCTTAATCCTTTAATCATGATAATAAAATTCTGGTCTGCTTGCTGCCCTATTTCAGGAGACAGTTCTGAGGGTTGTTTGTGGTCATTCAGGTTGGAGGACTTGTTGCCTTCTTTCCCTTATATGAACCTTTCTTTTCTTTCTTTTTTTCTTTCTTTCTTTCCCCTTTTCAGCGATTTCCACTTTCTCAGCTATAGTTATACACAAATGACCTGTGAGTGAGACTATTAATGAACCAAAGGCCCTATTCTCCACGATAAACACCCTCCTCAATCTTCTCTTTCTTTCTTCCTTTCTTTTTCTTTCTTGGTACAGGTTTTTAGTTCACTGGAATTCAAGAATGCATATGCAGATCAGATACCACTGCTACCTTTAAACCAGACATTATACAGTGTGCGTGCCTGCGTATGTGCGTGTGTGTGTGTGTTTGTTTGTGTGTGTGTGTGTGTGCGTGTTTGTGTGTGGTCCTCATGCTTTCAGACATTTAGATGAAGTGGTTTGAAAACAGAGAACACAAACATACATTCATACGACTCAGTGGGTCTTTTTGAGTATGGTTGACATGAATGGGCATCATTCTGCTCTGCATCCTGCTTGGTGGTCACCCAGCCCCCAACCCCTCAACCCCCAACCTCCAACCCACCAGACACCATGTGTCAGAAGCTGCAAGGATGACTGGACTCCTTGTTAACTCCATATTTGCTCACAAGCTCTGAAAACATGCTATTGTCCTCATTTTGATGATTACAGTTGGTGTTTTGGGTTTATTAGAACTGAACCAAACCACACCAACTTGGAATGAAATACAAAGGTTATTTGAGATGCAGTTGTTTTTGCACACCAGCCCATGGCTCTATCTGAATCTATTCAAGGCCCTTAAACATGCAGAAGGTCTGGTGTGTGTCCTGAGTATTCAGTCAGAGCTGGGTCTTATTTTCCACTCTGGGATTATTCCAGTGCCTCTGCTGTTTCCAGGAAAACTAAATCAACCCCAGAAGTAATGTCCACAGCAAGCTGCACAAGACGGACGGGGGAGTGGGACAGAAACAGCATGAAAGGGAAAAAGAGATGGAAAAAGATTGGTTTTAACATTTTATTATAAATTAACCGAAAAGTCTAACTTGTAGTACAGCAGTTGAAATCAACCTTGTCTTGGGAACTCCATGTGGAGCATGTGTGAGTGTGAAATTCATTTTCAAGGACTGAACTTCAATGATGAAGCACTTACAGCAACAGGGTTAAGAGCTTCCATTCCCAGCTGTCCTAAAGCTCAGGAACATTATCTGACAGGAGTGACGGTAAATAGGCAACACGTTAAGCAGACATTCATTATAAAAACATACAGTATAGACTCATTGATACACTGAACCTGAAGAGATCTTGTGTCCGTATCTTCTGTCATTACCCGAAGATCATATATGCACAAGTATAATATTGTGAGTTCTGCTCTGGGGGCATCTTGAGAATAAGGTGATAATAAAATCAGTCTTACAAACTATATTTCCCAAAGGCGTCGTAACTGACAATGTTTTTAGAGGGGATCATATATCAACAGGAACCTCAAACTCATTTGTGAGAGGCTAAGAGCATCTGCAGGAGAAAACAAACCATCATGATTTATTTACATTTTTGTTAATTTTTACGTCTATATGCTATTGTTGCTTATGTTTCATGTACAATGAGCAATAGTGGTTAGATTAGAAAACTAAATTATACAAAAACACAAGCACTAACAATTCCCTTAAATTATTGAGCTTATGTCCTCCTCTACCTCTTCTTTCTCAACATCTCTCCTGGCTGAAAGGACACATTCCTGAAGGTACATCTGTCTGCTTCATATCAACACGACTCACTGCTGCTTTATTTTAGTTTTCATTTAAGTTAGATAACATCTGGCTCAAACAGCAGCTACATCAATCAGAATATACTTTCCTAAACTTCTATACAGTAACATGAATTACAAAGGGCAACAAGCTGAATGCTGTATTTTGCACTGCACATTATGTTTCGTTTTCACACAACTGATGCTTAGAAGCTCTTTAGTGCTGCTACGGAAATTTAAGAGCGTACACTGAAAACCGCCTCAACCTGGAGAGAGATCATGGTAAATGGAGCCCTGGCTGGTCAATGCTGACTTTGGTGTGTGTGGTAGAGCAGCAGTTGAGGTCGATACTAAAATACATTCACTTAGACTGATCCACGAATAAACATTGATCTGTTCAGCTAATCTTCTGTCCTCAGCTTTGTTTTGAACTCATCCATCCTTCTGTTGACCATCACCGTTGCCATCACTTCCTCCATCTTGTGTCCATTCATTGTGCTAATAAGCAAAGATGACATCATAAATCATCTGATGTCCATCATCCCAGGCGTACAGTTTCTTGTCCAATGGGCAGTAAGCCAGCTGTGAGGTGTGCGCGTGCATGTTCGTGAACGAGAGGCTCGGCACGGTGTGTGTGAGGGTGTGCGTGTCGAAGGCATACGTCACGTTGGCGTAGCGGTGCTCCATACTGTTCACAGCATAGAGCACACCGCAAACCAGGAAGCTGTTCCCGTAGAGACCACGCCGAAGACCTGTGCGGAAGCTCCTCATTGGCTGAAGGTCGCGGGGATGGAGGTGGGTTAGCAGGATTACTTCCTGGTGAAAGCCCTCTGTGTCCAGAGCAGGGTAGAGTAACCACAGGCCGGACTCATCCACAGCAAACTCCACCTGGGAAAAAGAGAGCCACATGTTTAACACCTTCAAGCCATACACAAAAGATCCTTAAAGGGGAATTCTGGTGTTTTTTAGCTTGGACTCTGTGTTTATAAATGTGGATTTGTAAAAAGAACAAAAACTTTTGCGATGGTCCAATAGATTTCCTCTGCCTGAAGCCACAACAAAACAGCAGTGGATACATTGTCATCTTATGGTGCAACCTGTGACAGTCCACATAATGTCCACGAAAAGTGCTGCTTTTCATCCATGAAAGGCTCAATTTGAAAGTTTTTGTACCATCCATTTACACACCCACATTTATAAACATGGGAGCTAGGTTGCTTTAAAATTCAGCTTTAAAACCACTACAGTATATTCAATTTTGGGAACATTTCTTTATACTACTATGAGAGAGATAATTATTTATTTAGTATTATTATTTCCATGGCTTATTTCTAAGCCTGGAGTTGGCTAGGTTTAGTCAGACAAAGCACACAACAACAAAAACCCACCTTCCTCTGGGCAACATCATTCATGACAATAACAGTGTTTATCATAGTTACACATCGATGTAGTTAGCTGTCTGCAGCTGCACACAGACTGATATTAAAAGCTGGGCTCACCAAGTTACAGAGTGTGTCACTCTGCCAAAATGTTTGGAGATTCAAAATTATTTATTACTTCTGCTGACTTTTGGACGGAGCGCGCTGTTTCCTCCTTGCTTCAAATCTTAAGGCTCAGCTAACTTGTGCAACATTCCGTCTTTCTTCCCCTCCTTCCCTTACCTGCATGGCTGACAGCTTCCTTTGGCTCCACCCACAGACTGAATACAGGAAGCCAGCTCACCTGGTTCACTCTTCCTGAACAAAGAGACCTGGCAGGCCTCATACTCACAATAAAAATAATGGATTGGAAACACTTGAGTCCATGCCCGTCTGTTCCACCTCACTCACCACTAAATTGATTGTGCCTGGAGCCAGAATATTAAAGGATGACAGTACTCATCCAATAATTTAGATTAGATAACCATCTCCACCTATAGCAGAAACTATAGAACTGTGTGTACTTAATGCTTAATGGTAGAGATGATCCTCCCATCTCACTCTCAGAAACAAAGCAGATAAATTCCCAAAATGTTGAAGTAATCCTTTTAAGATTCTTTCTCACTTTCATTGGAGTAAGGAAACTAGTAAAACCACTAACTAGTAAAACTACAAAAACAACTATTCCTCACAATCTGACTTTTGACCCCCACGGTGATGTGTAGTGCTTTTGTTCCCCTCTCTGACCTTTTGAGGCCCTTGAAGGTGTCCTGAGTGTGGATTCTTCGAGTAAATCATCATGCAGTGTCTCCTGTGGGGTTACATCACAATCACCACCAAGTATGCCATAAGCCTTACTTCAGTTTGCGTTCTGTGAGCTTGCTCCTCCAGTATCGCATCGTGCAGCGTGGCCCAGGCTGCGACATATCGGTGCCTCAGGTCGTATCTGATGACATCCCTGCTGAACGCACGGTTGTAGTAGAAAGCCCCATTAAACACGACGTGGCCCGTGCCGGTGAAGCTATAGGGCAGCTTGTATGAATTACTCGCCTGACCTGGGCAGGATATACAAGCAGATCACATGTAGGTGGTCAGACTTACACGTGACAACAAACCAGTGAAACAAAGCACAACCTGGATCCAAACAGAGCTGCAACCAACAGAATGCAAATACATCAGTTTTCATCAAGTTAAATTTCAGGCTTTTTATTACAGTTATGATTGAAATTTAAGTATCAAGTATGATAGAAACTGTAGCTGAGTCCCACAAGGACTAAGGCTTTCCAATAAATTAATGTAAGGTGACATAGAGGATTAGAGAATAAATCTCAAAACTCTACGTTATCTCGCAAACTACAGGTAGACACAGTAGGTATCCATAGTCTTTCCCACAGCCAAGTAGAATGTACTGTTATTAATTCTAACCAACCATCAGTTCCAAGTTTTATTACGACGCGCTAGTAACAGACGTGAACAAAGAACTACAACACACAGAGGCATTACAAATTATTCATTCAACAGTTAGAATAATTTAACTTCTACACACACACACAAACAACCTGATTTGAAGGTTTCCATGTCTCTGAACTCTTGCAGGTTGTTTCCATAGAGCCCGCTGGTTAGGTAGATGACGTTGCCATGGCCGCGGGCATCTCTCATCCAGGCCCCGTCACTTAGGCCGTAAGAGTTGTGCTGTACCGGATCAGAGAGGCTGGCTACTGTGTCCTTACACATTCCTGCAAGAACAAGTGCATAAATCAAGAATATCACAGGATCTCAATATGCACTCACTAGCTGATAAACTAGTGCAGTAAATGTGTCCCTACCAGGCTTCTTGGTGGTCTTTGGCTGGTCCTTAGGGCTCTCAGTCCAGCTGAGTCGACTTTTGGGTCCGCGCTGAGGCTCTGCCATGGGAGGCGCATCAACAGGTGGACTTGTACTGGGATTTGAAGCTGAGGTGCTGTGCTGGATGAGAAATGTGGTAGCCTGAGTAGTAGTTGTAGCAGTCGTAGTTTGTTGAGACGTTGTTGTCAGTTTGGTTGTTGTTGTTGGGTTGGGAGCTGTGCCAGTGGTTACTGCAGTTGTTGTTTTTCTGGTGGTGGGGGCTGGTTTGGCTGTGGTGGTGGTTTGTTTGGCGGTAGTGGGGTGATCGGTTGGTCGCTGGGTTGAGGCTGGACTGCTTACTCTCCTCGATGCGTCCTTGCCGCCTGGTTCTGTGCTCACAGTGGGTTCAGGTCCTGGATCCTGGATGGGGAAAGTCCTGTCAGATGGGAGCTGGTCAGAAATCAGGAAGTCCCATGGAGTATGTGCAGTCAGAGTCGCTGTGAGAGGAGGAAAATGATATAAGACAGGGCATTTTTAACATTTAACATTTTTTTACTTCAGCTATCAAGTCACTGTAATAGTTGTTACCATGTCAATCATTAGAGATGCACCAGACTTACAATTCTTTGCTCTCCCTCTCTCATTCGTCTTATATATCTCTTCTTCTGCCTTATAGAAGGTCATGCCCTTGACAACCATGCTGGTCTTCTCTTTGACTGGCTTTTGACTTGCTGTCTTGTTGCTGGTTGGCTCTTGTTGTTCCAGTTGATCTTGCTGTTGGTTTTTCTTCAGCTGAACTTCATTATTCTTCTGCAACAGCACAAGCAACATTCATACATTTATTACAATTTTGGTATTTTTTGCAGGTAATTTCTTTTGGAATACAGATTTGAAAAAAACCCAACATATATCTGTTAAGACACACATTTTCAAATAATGATATCACATAAAATAAAATTGTTATTCTTACAGCCCATATTCACAAACCATAATTTGCCTAATATGTCTTAATAATCTGTATAAGGTGCAACATCCTCTGTCCTAATGTCCTTACCCTTCGACTAGTGTGAAGAAAAAACCTTTAACAGGGGAAAAACACATAAACCTCAGGGAGGTGCAATAGATTATATGTGTAATATTTAATACCTGTTTGTTAGTGGAGGCAGGAGCTCGATTCTTCTGTCCTGCATGACTCAGATCATTCATTTTCTTTTTCTTCTGCTGGGCCTTCTTCTCTTTCTCCTTCTCTTTTGCTCTGTCCTTTGCACGTTCTTTCTCTCTGGCTCGCTCTGTAAAGTTACGTGCGAAAGCCTGGAGTGCAAACACAGGATGACATTAAGAGCATACATTAAACCTACAGTTACCTTTAAAAGCCCAATCTAAATTCAGCTACTGTTGTTTTCTTAACTTAAAGCATTGATTGCAAGCAAATCTACATTCCAGTAAATGAGTGAATGGGCACAGGGAGTGTTTTAGGAACTACTCGAAAAATGCAAATATAACATTTGGACAGACAGCACGATTCGTATAACAATACTTCTAAAGAAAACCCAGCCAGTCCATTAGAATACAAACAGTTTATATAAGTTGGAAACTATGGGTCTTAGGGCCTGGTTTTTGTGTTACCTCATTCTAAATGGGACGTGTGCCTCATATGACAATGGCAGAAGTATGAAATCCAATTCAAGCCACAGTAAATTATGGAGAAACTTTCTCTACCTGTAATTATTTTCAATATGGAGATCAGACCTTTTTGTAAAAAGAAAATTTTTCACGAGAAAACAAACAGTAGAGTGACTACAGGAAATGAAGGGAGAGAGATCAAGATGATAGATGAAGAAAGGTTAAACTCAAAGGAGTGACATTCCCTTTGTGCAAGACAGTCATCTTCAAATGAATCATACTGGAAATTTAACACAATGCAAAAAGACAAACATGGGGATTCAATGGCATCTTGGGGTCTTCAATCAAAAAAGAAATACATGAATGCTACTAATTATATTACATATAGTTAACGTGGATTACTCCATCCATTTTTTTTTTACTCAGAGCTGCTATCTACTTATAAATTCCCCAAACATCTTTCTGTCTATGGAACACAAGATATATGGGCTGCGGCCCACGATATCTGGATCGTCTGATAATTATGAGGATTTGATTATTTTTCTTTCACCATATTGGACTGACACAGAAATTCACAGGTGCAACTTTTATATAATTACTTCCTGTTTGACAGGCTATCTTAGAAGTAAAAGCACAACGTTCCTTTTGCCGTAATGCTTCATATAGGTCTGAGTTACAGAGCTTTTGTTTTGAAAATGTTGTGAACTTGGGTCTGAAGATTGTGAAAATTCATATTATGAAAAGATAGTACTAGTTCAGTAAATCATGTACAAACCAAATACATGAAGTAAAGCAAAGTAGTGGAAGTTTTCTTTCAAGAAAAACATGACTGTAAAATCTTAATTGCAGATATACCAGGTAGGATGAACACAAAGTTTTCAAATGTCACTCTGCAGCATAGACTGTTTACAAAAAGCTCTGCACACAGCTTCCTGCAAATAAACAAAAAAAAGTGTATATTGTAGAACTGTTTAATGAGGACTCACTAATGACACAGATTCATTCTAATGCAGCTCCAGAGCATTAACACAGGCCAAGCAAACAGCCCATTCACCAGCAGTAACGATTTTCAGACGAATTTAGAAAGAAAATCAAACTGAATGTTTGCACAGTGAGGGGGACAAGTCACACACACACCCAGTGGAAATTACAGCCTTCATAGATTGGTGTATTGTGCAAGTGTGTGTGTGTGTGTCCTCACTTTTTCCATGTTGTCCATCTTGGTCAGCAGTTTGGTGGTGACAGAGTGGAGCTTTAACAAGTCCATTCCATACAGAGAGCCCTCCAACAAGTCCATGATAGTTGCCAGCTTAACAGACAGACGATGCAAGAAAAAAGAAGAGAGAAGATCAACTTGGATGTGATTGTTAACAAGATCTTCAACTAATGTTCAAACTCTGAACTACTTCAGGAGATTGTTTGACCTCTGGAGTAGATTTCAACATCAAACATGTTTCTACCTTAATGTCATCCTTGCTGGCCTCCTGCAGTTTTTTAAACCTGTACTCTCCCTCACAGGGGTTGACAGCTGAAGGCGGCGCCATGCACACACACTTCTTGCAGTCTGTTCCCTTGGTAACCGTCTCCACAGTGTAAAAATCCTGGGGCGGCGATGTTGCGCCACTGTCAGGGATACGGCTGCAGTCAGAGCGCTTCATTGGTCGAACAATGCAGCGGCACACACAGTCGGAGCCTGATGACAGAGTCTTTACTTTGTCGTAATCACCCAGCAACTGGAAGAGAGGGACAGAGTTTGTAATTCTTTCTCTCTAACAACTTTTCAACTCAGTCAGATGGGAGGAAACTTCGAAGAGATGATAAATATGAATGTGGACTCAATGCTATGAATTCTTTTATGCTGTATATTAGCTATAACCTTGTGAATGAGAGCTAAAGGAAGGAGGGGTAGCATCATGAGTGATGATGTGCAGCTGCAGCGGTGGTGAGCTGCTTGGGAAGAAGAAAGACACAGGCGTTTACAAACAGGCCCTTTTGGTTTGGAGCTCTTACAGTTTGGAGGATATTATATAACTGACCGCCAGAGGGATGCAAACTGTTACCATGGTCCACACACACACACACACACNACACACACACACACACACACACACACACACACACACACACACACACACACACACACACACACACACAAGATCTGGGCCTGATTTACCACATCATTTAAGCTGAACTGACAAACTGTGGGGTTTTGGGCTGTGTTTAAATGACAGAGTAAAAAGTGCTGTGTCTACCCAACACAATCACTTTTCATACAGGAAATGAGAGATTAGAGATTCTCGTCCCAAAAAAAGAACAAGTGCTTTGTATTCTCATGAGGTTTTTGGTTTTTTTTGCTGAATGAAAAGAATGGAACTATTTCTTTGCTCCAAATGGGCTCACCACTGAGGAGTGACCTGTTACACAAGACTTGAGATCTAATGAGGTGTTGGAAGAGGGAGGGAATGAAACTCAACTTCTGCCTATTTGATATTTTCAATCATTCTCAGTAAAAGCACGGTTTTATTTGGGTCATGCATCCACCTCCTCCAGGTACAACCACTGTAATAGGCCAACAGGCACCGTTTGTTGGGGGATGTGTAAAATACATTTTCTCATATGTGACACATTGAGAAAACGAAATCAATTGATTATCTATACATGTTTACAACTGATTAACACACCTAACAAACTAGGATGATCATGTGAATAAAATCATTCTGACACATTGGATTAGTCTGTTCAGATTGGTGTCTCTCTACCAGTTTGAAGTGGATTTGTTGAACAAAGTTTGAGTTTTCTGAATGAAGTTGACATGTCTCCAGGGACACATGTGACTGACCTGGCTGATGATGTTCTCCTGGTTGTCCAGCTCATCCTCCAGAGGCTCGGCGGTGGGCCGCTCCACTCTCCCCTCTGCACCCGCAGCCGGAGCGTCTCTCCCCGCGGGCCGCTGCTGTCCCTCTCGGGGACCCGGCTCCGTTATGGCCGCCGCGGAGGGAGCAGCGTCCTGCTCCGCTTGCTGACCCGCCACCGGAGCGTGGGTCGGCGGCATCGTATCGCTCCTGTCCGCCTCCAGAGCATCAAGTCCGGTCAGAGCACAACACAAGAGCAGCAGAGACAGACGGTGCCACATGTCTCCTGCAGCAGTGAGCGGCACTGCGAGAGGAAAGTAGTCCCAAGTGTCTGTCAGGCAGATCAGCAGCTCCACGAGGCTTCACCCGAAGCAGAGCTGAGGAACTTCAGTCCACCGGTCTGTACCAGCCTGGTACACAGTGAATGGATCCAAACAGCAGAGGACAATGGAGCAGACCCGCCTCCAAACCACCGGTAAATACAGGCGTCACTGTGAGCTGCACACTGAGCTGAGGAGAGTGAGGAGAGGGTCACAGTCAGGGATCATAAACTGCACTGGACTGGACCTGGGGAAAGAATCCATGTGGCCATTAAAGGAGGATTTATAGATGTGGTTTAGACTGAAAAAAGCAGCTGAAAGTTGCAGAAGTGGCTGCAGTCTGAAATCTGCTCAGTTATTCAGTAAGATAAAATAAGATAGGATAAGACAAGACCAAATAAGATAAGATTATTCTTTATTAGTCCTACAATGGGAACATTTGCTATGTTGCAGCAGCAAGGGCAGTCAAACATTAACATCAGTACACTAATAATATATTTATCAATGTAAGGAAATAAAAAAATCTAGAAAAATATTGATGGGATAATAACCAGTATATACAGTATAAACAGAATGTGCACAGTAAGAGAATATATGTATGTTTGAATGCACATTGGAATGGATTGCACATAAACCCTTGAATTGCACAGACAGAAAAGGAATATTGCACAATTAGAGTTAGAGAGTTAAAGTGCAGCCCATAGGTGAGTGTGGTCTACTGGGAGAAGAGCTGCTTGTACAGTCTTACTTCTGAAGGAAGGAACAACCTGCAACACCTCTGTCGCTGAAGGAGCTGCCCAGATGGTGTCCTGCAGGGGATAGGACTGTTTGTCCATCAGAGAAGACAGCTTCACCATCATCCTCCTCAGTCCCACCACCTCCACTGGGATGGAAGAATCACTGACCTTATGAGGACCAGTAGACCTCAAATAACCAAGGTCTGGTCCTGATGAGGTAAAACTTCATTTCTAAGGGACTGGTTAAGGTTAGGGGTGAGATGTAAATTGTGGTTAGGTCAAGTTTCAGATAAGACTGAACTGGTCATTGATATGGATAAGGTTTGGTTAAACTGTCCACAAATAAGATAAGTCAATGCAAAGTCCTAATAAGGATAGTGGCACAAACCTGTGTGTGTGTGTTCTGTTTGGTGGAGATCCTTCAAGTTTGACACAAGCATGAAAAAACTAAAGGGGAATAAATAATACATATGTATATATTCTGTATTACTGAAGAATCCCACATGCTTTTCCATCTCAGTGTCGGCCAGCAGATGGCCCTACGAGCAAGGCTGTGAGACTGTGTGTTTCGTGTGACGATGACAGAAACTGAGCTGTGACAAACTTCACCTATATGTTTCCACCGTCCCGCCCCAGCTCAGCACGTGGAGACTCGCACAGCAGGAAATGAGCTGACACATAAGAGCATCTCGTCTGGTTGTCATGCATCTCACATCCTGTGTATGCACAGTCACATAACTGAATTTATTTTTCGACAGAGACATTTGACATCAAGGGGAGCAGAGTCACAATGGGAGCATCTTCTTCTGGCTTGTTGGATGAGGCCAAAATCAGCCACATTAAAGGTAAAACTAAGAGATCACTACTTTTTCAGCATTCTTCTGCACAATCTGCAGTTTTGCACGTGTCTTGGTTAGAGCATTCAAGTTTGAATGGATTTTCCACAGAGAGTAAAGTGAATAAAATGAGAGGAAGAAGCAGAGACATGTCATTTTAAGAGAAATAACAGAAGCTGTAGGGCTTTGGGGAGAGATGCTATTAAGTAACCGTAGCAGGCAGCAGTGATACTTCAAGCTATTAAAGAAGTAACGTGGTGTGAGGATGTGGTATTGGTCAGGAGAGACCCCATTATAATTTTGGTGCAGACCCGCATAAGGGGGTGTATCCTGGAATTGTTTTCACTATCTTTATCTTTGCGTGACAGGATGATTATAAACATTTCCCTTGATTTTTCAGAGAGTAATTCTTATCATTAAAAAAACAGGCATGATACTGACCGGAGACTTATATTTATGAGTTTGTGCAATTTGTTGAAGACGTAAATAAAAATCTTGAATCTAGATGTGGTTTCATAAGGCGACTGTTGGTCTTTTGTGGAGGAATGCACTCTACTTACTACCCTCAAAAGTTTTTATTTGTAATCAGACTTTTTAAATTTTTTATTGTATTAAAAGTGATTGTGCTGAAAGGTTGATGTCAGTTGTTTAGGTTGGTTTATGTGTGTCTGCTCTGGATCTAAATCTCAAATGAAATAATCACGCACTTCAACCTCATTTCTATTAGTCCTATCAAGTCGTGTATATACTACATATATATGTTTTGTGATACAAAAATGTCATTTTGAAAACTGTGCGTGGTAGCAGTGTTGGGTTTGACTCTTCATGAGAAGAGGAAGACAGGAAATTATGCAGGGGGAGGGGGCTTTGTAACAAACCAACATGGGGACATATATTTACAGTGCTTGTAAATAACAGGCCACCAGCATCTAAATGGGATGATACCATTAAAAGGAAATTTGTAATTTACAATCCAAAATGTGTTGTATCTTTTTGCGCATCTGGGATGATAATGTACACTTCAAATGAAATTTGACTTTAAAACAAATGAAACAAAAAACTACGCTGTGAGAGTGTCTTTGCTCATTTCCATGCGTGCATTCCTATACATGTTATCAGTACAGTTACATCCTGTCACTAATCTCCACAGCAAACTAGAAGGTAATTACAGCCATTTCCAACTATTACATTATTACGGGTTGTCTTGTGTGTGTTTGTGTGTTTGTGTGTTTGTGTGTGTGTGTGTGTGTGTGTGTGTGTAAAGATGAAGTTGGGGCTTCAGGCTGATCCAAAGAACACATGGTAATGTCCACGCTCTGTAAACGGATGTTAAAGAACAGATTTTGACTGATCCACACCCAAACACATCAAGTGCCTCTAATCAGGAGAGTACAGTAATCTGTCTCTTTGTCTGTGCACAATTTAAATACTAAATAAGTTTAAATAATAATAAAGTAAGTGAATTTTGCAATAACAGATACAAAAATAATGTCTATAATAGAGCTTCAACAATAATAATAAAATGTATCTATATAGCAACTGTTACAAAGTGATTTACAAAACCAGAATGAAGAACTGAGTGCACACAACAATTAAACTGAAGATCACACTGCATTATGTATTTTTAATCTAAACCTTTTATTGTACCTTTATTGTACAATTGGCTGGGAATCAAGGGATAGAGCGGGCCGTCTTCTAACCAGCAGAGCAGCGGTTCGATCCCAGTCTCTTCTCCATTCCATATGCCAAAGTGTCCTTGGGCAAGATACTGAATTGCTCCTAGAAAAAGAGTCATGATCACAATACAGACTTTTACTAATTTACTGATTTGATTTTCCTGTGTGATCTGAGAGTTAATTCACACAACATGTGTGTGAGCTAATCAATAAACTTCTCTCAGTGTCACTCCTCCCTCACCCCTGTCCCTCCCATGTTACTGTGCTCAGAGCAGAGATGCAACAGTGGGACTGCTGCCTGTTTTGATTTATTATATGAGAGCAACTACCTTACACATATTTTGCCTCACAGGATAGCCTAATTCTAGCTAATCCTGAATGAAAAAGTTTTCATGAAGGAAGCAACATTAGCATTCGATTAGAGTTGTGTCCTCCACCACCGTAAACTGTAAAAAAAAAATGGATGATACGTCTCCACTTTAGCTTAAAATATCCTGAATATGAACGTCGCCACCTTGTGCAGAGTCAGTAGCATTTAGGGGATGGAGCTGTAGTTCCGCGGTCCCATCAATACACATGTTTGACCAAGTCAGTCACAGCTGTCAATCATTCACTACATTTTTATAGCATCAAATAACTATTTAAAACCAAACATACTGGAGACATTAGCACGTGGGCATAGATAATTAGGCTATGATAAGAATGATCTTAAAATCACATAAACAATCTTTGAGAAAATGTATATGTAATTTGCTCTAGTCCATTTCCATCCATTAACATGGAGAAGGAGTTGCACTTTTTAAAGGGGCCAGGCGAGTAGAGATATGTATATAATGACAATATTCCTTCTAAATGTGTTTATGTATGTGTTTGTGTGTATCCAGGAATTACTGACAGTACGTTCCAGGGCTTCAGTGTGTTTTACCGTCAGCAGTACTCTTCTGCCTATGTTGGACACATACACCAGGAGGTGGAGCCTAAGAAAGAGGGAAGAGGCCTGTTGCTTACTCAGAGGGTAGGAGTTGCATCTGCCAATCAGATCATCAGTCGACTCGGGTTGATGACATATTCATGTTGGATGCAGCTGTAAATTCCTTGCACATTTTGTATAAGATGATCAAAATTAAATATATATATGTGTGTGTGTGTGTGTGTGTGTGTGTGTGTGTGTAGCCAAAGTATGATACAGAGGAGGTGCTGTACCAAGGTAATGTGAAGTTCTCCTGCTGGGATGAGCAGGGAAAGAAATTCAGGGAGAGGTATGCCGTCCTGAGAAGAGACTACAAAGTGGAGATACATGAAAACAAGGAGGTAACACACTTTTCACAGACATTCAAAATGTATGTCTCCCATTGTTTGACACTGGATATTGTTCAGGTGTAAGATTACTGTCACTGCCACATTCATTATCAGTAGGCTAGTACAGTACGATGGATTACGTACACATATGTATGCACCTCTTCATGTGTATATGTTAACACGCATACAAGTATATTATCACACATGTAATGTCTCAAAACATGTCATTATTACTGTCCTGTCTCTGTGTTTCCACCTGTAGTCTTTCGATCGTGGATGTGCCCCTAAATTGGTCCTCCAGCCGACAGGGGGCAGTGTGCTGACCTCAGAGCAGGAGTCCATAGCTCATCTGGCGAAAATGTGTGCTGGAATACTCAATGGTAATATTATGTATTTCTATATACCTAAGTATTTAACTAAATTCTGTGTTAACACAGCTTTTTTATCAACCTGAATGATCTGCACTGAGGATGGTGAACAGGATCAATACGCTGATCAAGAGGCCATGATCGGTCATTGGCCTGACTCCTGACTCTCTGGAGATCACTACAGAGCAGAGCATGAGGAGGAAGCTCTGGAGCATTTTGTCACAGGACGATTAGCTTTTATACAGAACCTATAGCAACAGGCTCCTGTTCCTAAAATAGTCCACTGAAAGGTTAAAAACTATTTGTTGATGTAGTCTTATTCGAAGTATTATTCCTTCACTGTATGTTGTTGTCTCCATTCAATTTACATGGTTGCACATATATCCTATCCTATTCTTTCCACAATGTATGCAGTTGAAATAATAAGAGCCGGCTTTTTTGGCTCCCCAACAGTTCTTCATTTAGTACTACTTCTGGCTTTTATAATACACCTAAAATTAGCATCTATGACTGGTATTTGTACGCTCGAATTATAGTGAGGTGACGCCACACAATGACCATGACATGTCTATTTTAGGTCAATGATGAAACCAAACCCTCTTGTCAGTTTCATGTCTTGTAGAAGAACTCTCACGTGTTTTGAGTCACGGGAGACACATGGGTAATCTTTGTAGCCTTTTAGAAACTTGTGATCTCATTTCACATCATCACAAAATTATTATGTGATTCTAGAGAAGGGTAAGACTGACCATCCAAAGTCAGGCCAAATGTGAGGGTGTAGATCAAAACATCCTATGTTTCAAAGGTCCCAGAGACTGAAATGCTTTTTTTTCCGTGATGGTATCTTTCCCCTAACTTAACCTGTTTGTTTATTCCTTGAAGTTGAACATATAAATAGAAGCTGCACATGGGTTGTTTTGGAAGATCAGTTATCTTTGTCTTATAGGGCTTGTTGAGAAGATATGACATCATTAAAATAATGTCTAAGAGTCATGCGTTGCTGTGCATGTTTAACATAAACCTCACATGCTTTTACTGTTGCACATAAACCTATGTATGGGACCTGAGGAAATAGAGTCAAGCCCTCACACACCTCACTGCTTTCTGTTTAGGAGCGAAGGAGGATTCTTCTTCAGTGGTGTCATCTACAGATGTGATTGCTGTGTATCTGCACCTGCCCTACACAGGCCACGCCTGCTTCCTCTTTCGGGAGGAAGAAGAACGAGATCGCTTCCTGTCTGCGCTCAAGACCAGCATTAGACACCGCAACCTAGGTAAAACAGTCATATGGTCGCTGTCTCTGTGGTCTAGTTCTACTCTCTGTGCTGTCTCTGTGTTTGCAGTCCAATCAGAATAGGATTAAATTATTAAACTAAATTAATTTAACATGGTAACACGGGAAAGCTGCTAAACTTGAAATGCTGGGTTGTTCTTGATGGTAAATCCCCCCCACCCAAGATACAGCTGAAAATGTGAAATAAGATGACTAATTTCTTCAAACTTTTCAAAGAAGGATCAACTTCCCCTTAAATTTAACTGCATAACCATCGTGTTTAATTATTTGTTTCATTTTATGGTTTTATTACAAAGGTAAAACCAAGAAGCAAAACACACAAGACCTAATAGGGTGAGATGTTTGTTTTCTGCTCGTGGGTTTTTTCACAGGTCCGGTTGTGTAATGGTGAAATCTTGAAAGCAGCTGACTCATGGGAATCTGAAAATTGTGAAAAGTTCATTGTGCCATAACAAGAAGCAGAGAAAAACAGAGAAAAACCTTTTTAGTTCAACTCCGTCCAACAGTTAAATCCCCTTCTGACACCCCAAGCTCAATACTTGTGTGCTTAATCTGTATATGAAGACAAACAAATTATGGTTTCATTGAAGGGCTGAAATTATTTCTTACAAATTGTCAATCATGAAATAGAGCTACACCATTTACATTTTGGTAGAACAAATGTAGCATTATACAACAGGTTTTCCTGCACAGCGTGTCAAAACATATTTTGACGGTGGCTTTGTGCTAAAGAATTCATACCAACTACAGTTTCATCTCTCTCTTCTCAATTACTGAGACAATATGAATGGAATGTCAGCTTAGATATGAAATGCATTTTGCATCAGACAGTATAGACTGATGTATCAAAGAGATCTTCTTACGTTTAAACCGGCGGACGCTCACTTTCCTGCTCAGCCTCAGGGCAGAAGTAGGTGTCAAACAGAAAAAATGTGAGGAGATACTGTCGTCGTCAGGAGCTGCTCGAAAAGAGAGTTTCAAAAGTCTGCAAGTGATTCCTGAACTCTTCTAAACTCTTGCTGTATATATATATGCACTATGGTTTATTGACTTTAATCTCCTCCGCATTGTGTTTGGTCTCTCTGAGTTTCCTTTTCAGTCTTTTCAACCAGTTTTCCATCGACAAAGTCTTTATTTTAATACAGTATTTCCTTGGTGTTGGTAATATTTATCTCATTCATTTATCTTTAGCCACATTCAATTCAATATTTGTCAATTTATACACAGAAAATAAACATGTCTCTAGTTTAACCTAGGGAACTATTATGAAAAATTCAAAAAATTCAAAACAGTTCAATTAAATTGTGCCTTAAGCTCTTTCTTACTGTCAGGGGACCATATCCTGACTCCCCCGACCTAATACCTTTTTAGTTTTATAAATTAAATACACAACATGATCAGAGTTTGGGACAAGAAGTCTGATAGGGAATTCATTAACATGGCAATGATCCTGGATATTCTCTTATCGAACACATCTTATTGATGTTAGGGTGTTGCTGCTCTAGTTTATACATGTTCTGCCACCACATTCTGCTAAATAAAACCCATTTCCACATTGGGATTACAGATCTCTCCTCTTTTCAATTAACTTACACCACCAAAGTTTGTTTATGTTCAGTATATGCAAATCCAACCACCTTTGCATTTACTTTTGTTGGCATTTCTAAAAACACCTGTAAGAGGAAATCCGCAGAAGATGTTGGTCTTGTCCAGTTGAAGCCAGCTCTCACCTCTCAGTGAAACATGTTAGAGGAGCATTCCAAAATATGAAACAGGAGCTACCTTACATACAGATCTCATCCACCTCGTCATCCACCAGAGAACCACCGAGGATAATATTCTCAATGATTACAGATACCTCCTCTCTTTCTTCCAGTGGCCTCCTCAGTCTCTGTAGGAGAGAGTGTACAGGAAAATAAGAGAACATAGTTCCAATAGAGCAGAGGTGGGAAGAAGTACAAATACTTCACACTTAAGTAGTTTTGTAGGTATCTGTACTTTACTTGAGTGTTTATTTTTCAGTCAACTTTTTACTTTTACTCCCTACATTTTAACACAAATATCAGTACTTTCGATTCCTTACTTTTTCAAAACAGGCTTGTTACTTTCGTTTGAATGCTTTTGAGAGGAATTGTCTGCTTTTTAAAAAATTTCGCATCATTGAGCCGCTTTCCCAACATCAAGACAGATTTTATGCAAATAGTTGGGACAATATAGATGTAAAAAAAAAAAAAGAATCTGCCAACATCACTGAACAAACAAAAAATTCCCTAACCATGGCCTTATCTGAATTAAGAATAATTAATACACCTCAGTTTCCTGTTCTTAGCTGACAGGAGTGGCACCCGGTGTGGTCTTCTGCTGCTGTAGCCCATCTGCTTCAAGCTTTGACGTGTTGTGTGTTCAGAGATGGTATCCTGCCTTTCTATCATCTCAAACCACTCTGCCCATTCTCCTCTGACCTCTGACATCAACAAGGCATTTTCGTCCACAAAACTCCCACTCACTGGATATTTTCTCTTTTTCGGACCATTCTCTGTAAACCCTAGAGATGATTGTGCGTGAAAATCCCAGTAGATCAGCAGTTTTTGAAATACTTAGACCAGCCCATCTAGCACCAACAACCATGCCACATTCAAAGTCCCCTTTCTTCCCCATTCTGATGCTCGGTTTGAACTTCAGCAAGTCGTCTTCACCACATCTAGATGCCTAAATGCATTGAGTTGCTGCCATGTCATTGGCTGATTAGCTATTTGTGTTAACAAGCAATTGAACAGTGTGCCTAATAAAGTGGCTGGTGAGTGTATATTAATGAGACACAAGTCTCAGGTTGCTTTGCACGGATACAGATTTAGAAATAACCTTCAGAGGGTTTACTTTCATTTTTAACACAAGTGTTTTTAAGATTTCTTTATTTAACATTAACTAATGGTGCTCAACACTGAATGCCTTGTATGATATCTTGTCAAAATGATCCCTCCACAGTATTTGTAAGGGCCAAAATGATATTTAAATCATAACCATCATCCCTCTGGTAAGAATGTGTGAGGCTTTTAAAGATTCAAACATGACAAATTGATTTCTGTCATAATGTAGGGGTGAAGGTGTCGAATATTGAACTGCTGCAGTCTGCTCTTTATTTCAGTGTGTCACTTGTGGTCGTGGTTGCTCTGGCAACAGATAAAAATATTACTGCAGATTTCCTGTGTGGTTAGCTGGCATATGACACAAAAGTCACCCTTTTACTTCATGTCACAAGCTTGTAAAAATATGGGATGTCACATCTGCACAGTCACCATAACAACAGAAAGCAACACACAGAAAGCCAGCAGTGACTGTTGGTGGCGGCACCAAAAAGTGTTGACCTTATTAATCGTATTAATAAGATCAGCCTTATTAATCCTATTATTCAATTCTTTGGGTTAAATGACTTATAATGATAATACCTTTTTTCAATAGCACTTTTTCATTCAAGTAACACAGTGCTTTGTAGGGCGGGGCCAGCCCATGCCTGGCTATAAAAGTAATTAAACAATCAATCCTAAAATAAACAGGCAGCCAGTGCAAGGAGGCTGAAACAGTTGTGATATTGCTGATGATGGCTCTCTCTAGTGTCGATGAAAAACAGGAAACCAGTGTTGACCAGCCTTGTTTTATATTACTCAATAAAATCAAATTCAAATCTTTTAATCCAAGTTATAGAATACTTTGGAGAGAATATGTTTCTGTCATTTAAGGAGCACTATTTATAGCATTGATCCCCACTATTTGGACTAATTCAGATGAAAGTAAGCATGTTATTGCCAAATGGTTGACTGGATTCCTGATGGAGCATCTGAACACATGTCAGTGATGTCAGTGCTAAGCTACATTTGTGTAATAAATAATAATGCTGATAAAGGGAAGTGTGGTCAGCATTGCGGGAGCTTTCTGTTCCTCAAATGTATTCTGTCAGTTCAGTTGGAAAAGAAAACACAAAGGCATTAAGGGGAACTTGACTACAAATGACACAATTAAGAGGCACGCCAAGGAAAAAAGCAGAATACACATTGTTGTTTAGCTTTAAAGGCTGGTATACATGGGATTGGTATAAAGAAAGTGAATCAAGTTTCACCAAGTGTAACTGTGTGGCATTGTGGTGGTTTTGTACACAAATAGATATATGTGGCACAAGAGAATAAGATTTGCATCCGCACACAGTACAGTTAGTTAGTCAGTTCAATTTAGAGGGAGTTTTTCCTCTCCACAGTCGCCTGTGCTTGCTCATTGTGGGAACTGTTGGGTTTCTCTATGTTAATATTGTTTTAAGGTCTTGACCTTTAAATGTAAAGTGCCTTGAGATAATGTAAATTATGAATTGGCGCTATATAAATAAAATTGAATTGAATTGAATTAGGACCACTTTTGTCAAAATGAATTTTATTTCAATAATGGCAAATTCCAAGTTATATTTGGAGGTACAACTCTGTTCTGGTACTTCCTTCCACATATGCATGTCGCAGAGAGAGCACACGTCCCGGCCCTTTCATGAGCTTTCATGAAACGTGAAGGGAGAACATTGTTATAATCATAATCCACAATCAGCTACCACCACGATCCACGAACATGATCCTCTAAAGTCATAATTACTCACTTCCTGTCTTCCTCCAGACCCCTGGTGTGAGTCCTCCTATGAGAGAGAGGCACACATGCGAGCGCTCCGACTCTACCGACAGGACAAAGGATGCTATGATTCCTGGGAAATGCTGATCGGAACAGAGGAGGAGGTCAGTGCACGCACGCACACACACGGACACACACACACACACACACACACATTGATTTTCTACTTGCTCAATCAACTGTGCTCTCGTAGGTTCTGGCCTCCCAGGTGATGGAGGAAGTGTTGCCCTGGTTGCAGAGTCAGCTCCAGTCAAGAGTGAAGGGCAAGAAGACTGAGAGGATACGACAGTGGTTGGCAGTGAGTCAAACTGGTATCCTCTAGCTTGGGTCCTGTAAAAGCACAGTTTGCTGTCAGTCATGTTACACATTTGTACTTAATGTAGTTCCACTCAACTATCAACTGTCTTACAGCCCTTGAAGGCAGCCAACAGTAAATGAGGGTGTCTTGCTTGCAACATTTAAAGACACTATTCTTTCAAAAAGCTTTTTGTCCTTTAAATCTAATGGTCGCTAGCCATAGAGATAGTGTTGGATTTATTGTTTCTGCAGGTTTTATGATTTCAAGAAGTACTTCAGAAGAAAACCTGTTTACAATCCACAAGATTCTATAATAAAACTTTAAAAGTTATTCTATCTACCGCTTGTTATGTTGCCCCCAAGTGGCCAAAAAATAATTCAGACTCTATTCTCAAAGTTCTTATTCTAACTATTTCCTAAATAATAAACACTCAATGGTTGATAAAGTTTATTTAACAAAACTAGAGACACAGTGAGTGCAGCACATGTTTTGCTGTTTTTACCTTTTTAGACAGTGCATGCAACCTACACGTTGGTGCTGGAACAGCTAACAGCGAGTATGGAGGTTCTGAGGGAGGAGTGTCGTCAGACAGCATCTGTCAATCAAGCGCTGATCAGATCCAACCTGGACCAGATAATATCTTCTCTGTCCTTCCTAGAGCAGAAAGTCAGAGGTACGGCAATCTGACCTTTAACCCCTAACATTTAAACATACATAGAAAATGTAGTAAGACTCATAGAGCAAGTGTGTGTGTGTGTGTGTGTGTGTTCCAGTGTGTATACATGAAGAAGCAGAGAAAGTGTACAACGCATCTGTGGCACCCTACATGTCCTCCATCCTTGAAGTACTTACAGAGAACATAAGTGCAGGGATTCACGGGATGCAAAACACACTGCACACACAGATGGACTCTGCCTTAACACACACAAATGGAGGAACAGAGGACACCGAGAAGGTGAGAGAGAACTTTGTGTCTTTAAGTTTTCAGAGTCGGTGATTCAGTTTCCCAGCTGATTTTATTTGTGTTAACTTCAGCTGAAATCACTCTAAATGCAGAGTCTGAGTTGTGTGTGTGTGCGTGTGTCCAGGCCTTGTTCTCTCTGCGCTCCATCAGTCTGGATCAGTGCTACGGGCAGGTGAAGAACCTCACAGAGACGCTTGCTGACTTAAAACAGCGGTTTGGATTGAGCAACACACAGAGGCTGGCCCACTCTGCACATCTGGAAATGGAGCAGGTATGAACGGCCGCAGACATTTCCACCAGCACTTCACCAAACTCACGTGCTTCATCAAACTGCTCCGTTCAGCCTTTGAAGAACACTGGACAGTAGAAGGTGAAAGCATCGGGTTTGTGTTACAGAGAAATGTGGAGTTTATTGTGTGTTTGTTCCAGCTGCTGGACAGTGCTGTGTACACCTTAGAGCTGTTCCTCCAATCATCGGCCAGACTGCAGCCTTCTGAAATTCCTGTCAAGATGAAGAGAGCTAAAGAAAGAGTGCTGAAGGTAGAGAGTTACATCCCAGAATATTAAATGTTGTCCTATGAAATTTGCTGCAAAACACTTTTAGGCATAATAATGCAGGACTTCAAAATCTATAAAGAATTTTTATTGAGAACTTTTTTTTAAATTTGAATTTAAAAGATTTAAATGAATGGAAAATATGAAATTCAAATGAAGTAAGAGTCTAACATGTATGTGATTATCAGCCCTTTGCAGTAATGTGAGCTGTACAGAATGTCTTAACAACATCTACAAGCCCTCACACACACTCTGTACCTATATGGATTGTGTTTGTACGTAATATAATTTTTTTTTTGTGAGAGCAAAAATGGCTTTATGTTTACAAAATACATTTTAAAGTTTGACAGCAACCGCATGATTGGCTGGAAGAGATTGTGACAAAATCTGATAGGCCATTTAGAAATGCCTACAATCAGCACATTAATAATCAGAGAGAGGGTGAGAGAACTGTGATAGATTGAGGGAAAGTCTGCCTGACTGAACTTAAGCTGAATTAAAGCAGTGTCCAAAAGTGATGTGTGTGTGTGTGTGTGTGTGTGTGTGTGTGAGCAGCAGCTGGACTACGACAGCCGAGTTGTCCAGAGGAAGCTCTATCAGGAGGCTCTGCTGGAGATCACTCTGCCTGCTCTCACCAGGAGCATGGACACCAAGTGGAAAACTGTAGGTGGAATACACAGCTGCAGTCTGTCTCACCGTGTCTCACTGTGTCTCACTGTGTCTCACCGTGTCTCATTTCAGCACTTTGAGTACACGGATCTTAAAATGTGTTTTGTGTGTGCAGGAGTTGCAGCAGTTTGAGCAGTACATCTTCTCTGACTACAGCAGCTTCATCCTGATTCATAATGTCCACGAGGATGTTCTGAGAAACATGCTCAGCACGGAGATAGAAACAGGTAAACACACACTCAATAGCATGCGTGCATATAATACACATTTGAATTCATTTTAATCTTAATCCAATCAGTTTTATCTGCAGTCAAACCTTTATAATAAACAATTAAAGTCACCGCACCTTAAACATGTCTGTAGTCTCTACATTGTGTCCGTGTGTTGCTATCAACTCAACAAGCCGCAGCAATGTAATGAGTTCTGTTGTGTTTGTTGATTGTAGTATGTGTGTCCATCTTTTTGTGTGTCAGTAAGTCAACACACAAAAATAGAGCCAGTGTAAGCGATGCATTGGTGGAATAGATAGATGTACTTTATTGATCCCTATTTGGATTTAAAAATGGCTTTGTGCACACATACAAGGAATTTGTCTCTAGTTTTACATTGATCTCAGACTACTTCTTAAAACATGTCTATATAAATCGCTATATAAATACAGACCATATCTTTTAAAAAGAGCCTTTTGTTCATTTTAGCACAATGTGTGTTTGCCAACATGTCTTATCTGTGTTTTTATTATTCAATTGTTTTTTATTGTTGGGGCTATTCCTCTTTGTTCCTAATATGTTGGTATTGTTTTTACTGTTGGGTTGTTTATTCCATCTTATTTTCTGTATTATTTAAAGCACCTACCTGAATATATTTGCCTAAGTCCTGAAGAAATGTCCTAATCCTTGTTATTCATAAAAAAAAATACTCATAGTGGTGGATGCTCCGGACTGTACTGTATAATAGTACATGCAAAGAAAGTAGGATAGTCTGAACAATAAGGACCAACACAGTGTGGAAGTGAATTAAATAATATATACTGTATATAAATGCAGTAAATAAATAGAGAATTACTTTATACAGAAGCACAGAGGCTGCCATCTGTGGCGCAGTCTTAGATGGATTACATCATTATCATCACAGAGGTGTTGCACTGACAATAGGAGAGTACAACTTCACCGATTTTATATTTGGTAGGAATAAAAAAATAATAGAAATACTAAAGACATGAACAAAACTTCTCTGGTTCAGTTTATATGAAGACTCTATCAGATGTGTTCCTCTTTGAGTTTGCACTCATTTTCTATTTTCATTCAATATGAAATAAAATATAATTCATATAAGTTTTTAAACCCTGTCTCTTTACGTACCATTTCAAAAGTCTCCCCATCTTGCCAATAATATAATGTAATGCCATTTAAATACATCTTATTGGTCTCAAACAATTATATGTAAGAATTCTAACACAATGTATTTCTAGAAAAACCTTTGAATGACCTGAAACAGCAATGGGTACATGACTCTGGTGACCTCAGCAGTAGCTGTGAAATGATTCTACGTCACTCTGATCAGGTACATGTTCATTATATTTGTAAACTTGACATTTTTATGTTTCTTCTCCTCAGTGGTGAAGGATGCTGCCAGTAAGAACAGCAACAATCTCTTACTGGACATGTCGGATCTGGCTATCAGTCAGTACAGTCTGTTGGGACAGACGGCTCCTTGCTCTGCACCAGACGACCCAGCCAATTACCCTCGAGATGTTTATTCACCCGGGCCCAGTGCAGATACAGAGTCTGCTCCTGCGGTGGAGGAGGAGGCTCAGACCACAGCTCACCCTCAGACTGATGCAGAACTTAATGCTGCAGCCGAATCTGATCCCAGCTCCATTCAAAGATCTGACCTGAGCACTTTGCCTTTATCTCCAATGATTGTTGTGACACAACAGTTTGATGAACCTTCAGACGAGGAGGTTTCTCACCCAGAAGAAATCCATCAAGATCTTCAACCTGGAACCGACGCACCATCGATGGTGGATTCGACCACAGCTGACTCTGGAACACCTGACCACTCTATTATCCCAGAAGCCACGAATCCCACCCCAGACTCTCCTGAGTCCTCAGTGTCCTCGCTGCAGTCCACAGATGTCCCGGCTGAATGTGCTCAAAGCGATCAGTCTGCAACACTTGAGAGTTCTGCCTCCTCAGACCAAACACCAGAGGATGCTTTGGTCACACAGCCCTGCTGCCCTTCACCACCGCAACCATTTTCCACAGACAGTCCGACGATTATCAGCCTCGAGACACTAAACGAGGCCATCAGTTGCAACGCCGACGCACCTTCTGTAACAATGGAGCAGCAGACTACTGACAGAGCTGTGTACCTGACAGGAGACATCAAGGACAGCTGGGAGGAGGAGAGGGTGAGAGAGGAGAAACAAAAAGAGGCAGAGGAAGAAGAAGAGAAGACTGAAGGGAGAGTAGGTGATGAAGACAAAGGTAGCGAGCTTGAGAAAATTGATGAGGGGGACGCAGAGGAGAGAGAAGAAAGCACAGGAAACACAGTGCAGGAACAGGAAGTGGAAGAAGAGCCGCGCCAAAGCCCTCAGCCAATGGAATTGCAGGCAGAGAGTTCTGCTGAGCCGCCATTGGACAGCGTGGCTCTTATAAGAGAGCTTGTGACAGAGATCACTGAAGTGGAGACGGTCGTCAGCCCCTGTCCCAACAACAACGCACCCTGACAGTCACATGACCAGGACAAACGTGGACGTGTCTCCACTTCCACCTACTTTACAAAAATGAAGCCAAACTATCTTGGTGTCCGATGGTGGTGTGAAGCCAGCCCCCTCAAAGCTCGACCAATCACGATCATCTCACCTATCAATCACATTTCTTACTCCATTATTGTGGCTTCAAATTATATTAAAAAAAACAACCTAATGATAAGAACTACCAAAAATGACAGAAACCATCTTTGGAAAAAAAATTGTCACATGCTTTTACTTTTAGTTTGGTACATGTCCCGACTGCTCACATAGAAGAGATGGGGTTCAGCCAGCCACCAGGGGTCGTACAAGATGTTTTGGCTTCACTTTTGGGAGCCGTACTAGCCTCCATCTTTATATCCAGCCATTGACAAAAGTTAAACCTATTCCATTTAATTGTGTTACATTTTAATACAAGAATTTAAAAATCTTTGCTAAACAAAAAGCTGGAACTTATTTTTATTTCTGCTGTTCATTTGTTTATTTCTTTTCTACTCACAGTCAAATGACTCAAACTAAGAACGATGCTGTCAGCATCATGTTGTTGAAGATGCTTTCTTTCATTGTTTGGCCACACTGATGTACGATCACTTTATGAAATTGTCATTGGAGTCTTACTTGATGAATCTCAGTCAACATCCAGTCTCCTTTTAGTTGTGTTTTATTTAGTGCCACCAACTCTGTCTGGTCAGGTCCTGTACTCTGGGCTCATCAGAACTGAAACTGAACCAAAACTAGGTACTAAAGGCCATAAAACCAAAACAGCTACCTGACACTGAGTCAGTGATAATTATCAGCAGGTTCATCATAAGTGGTGACTTTTGGTTACAAACCAAAATCATTACTATACTATATGACATCATATTCTGACTTCATAGTGATGACATCATGACATCATTCCCACCACATGATCATATATCAGTTTTTCTATCCATATTTGCTTTAAATTGTTTGAATAATCCTCTAGAATGCAGATACCTGGAAAAAATATTTTTAAACTTCTGCATAATAATGAGGAATAATGGGAAATAAGGAATCATTTTCTGATCAATATAAGCTTCAGATTGTATGTCGAACCATATTAAATGCTTTTCACACCCTATTCGATCAGCTCCAAAAGTTAATAATCTGGAGAAACCCTTCCAAGCTATGATGTCACACAAGGTAATACATCCATAACTTTCCAAGACTTAATCATTTTATCTGACAAAATCAAATGCACTTGTTTTCAAGAAAGCTGAGCAGGGGTACCCATGATATCCAGCATGTAAGTGTGAACACAGTGTGATATAAAAACAGTCAAATATCATATGAGGTGTGTTTTTATTTGAAAGAAGAACGACAATGACGATGAAGAATATCTATAGTCCAGTACATACTCCTTTTTACAGTGTCTTGTTAAGTAGCAATACAATCAAATGTAAAAACACAATAATATAGTGTGCATACTGTAGAGTCACAATAACTTATGATAAAAAAAACTATAACCATGCATCAAAATATAACTATATGTGCAAATATGCCTAAAGGTAATAACAGTATGTTGTAAATTATCACTGTCCAGGACTTAACAGAATGTACAGCTCTCCTCTTCATTAAGATTTATGTAGTTTAGTGTGTAATTATGCTGAGTCCCATCATTTTCTTGTATTAAAGCTCTACGGCTCTAACAACACACGTAAACAATGACACTGTGAGACAGTAACTTCTGCAGGAGCTTCTGGCAAAACTGAAAACAGCCATAAACACCCTACCAATAAGACTGTTGACACAACATTCACTCAACAACAAATATCCTGCACTCACTGCTGTTAAAACAGGGAAATAGGTACAGTAAATATATGAAATGTCAGAATGGTTAACCTAACATACTAAACACGGCACATGCTACTACAATCAATGCACTATTGAAAATTCAGACCAGTCATCAATCAGTCTGGTGCCTTTTCTCTGTTTAAACAGTCGTTAAGAAAACGAGAGCTGGCCCACTGAAATGGAAGTTTCCAGTATTTCAACAAAATGTGCAATCACACCTTCAGACCATCTCACATAAACAGACCCTGGTACAGTGTCTCGGTTCTGCTTTCAAATGTTAAAGCAACCCAAGATGTAAGGATCACCACCAACAATGTGCCCAGTTTGCAGTGACATTAAAAAACACAGTTATGTACATTTTAGTGCATGTTAATAAAATGACTGTGTAGCTAAAGATGTTAACAGTGTTATACAGAGTCTGCTGGATCTCAAACCCTTGAACCATGGTGAGAAAGTATCTGACTGTTTTTTCAGTAGGTTTGAGGAGGCAACACAATCATCATAAACAAAACACGTGCAAAACTTATCAACATAGATTATCTGGAAAATAAAGTTTGTTCACATTCTTTAAAGTATTTGCTGAGCAACACAAAACTCATCATAAAATGACCGTGGCCAGCGAGGAAGATTTAACATTAACTTGATGTTTGTTCTGTTGTGGTGAATGAATGAAACGGGTTATTACTGTGTGGAACTGCAGGTTATTAAATAATAATATAACCTGCAGTGTTGGTCCCTGTCAGTGTTATAAACAGGCCTCTCCAGAACTACTCGAGCTTCTAATATTTCTGATTACTTGAAAAAAAAATGAATTCACACTAAGACTGTCACCATATTCCGGTTTTGATGCCAAAGTAATTTAAAAGATCTATCTGGTTCCCACTACAACTTGGTTGATTATCGGGATTGAATAAATAATTAGGACTATTTACTGACCAAAATTCATCTCTCTTACTCCGTTAGAGCTGCAGAGGCACATCATAGAAGCTGTTATTTATGTGTTTATGGCTCATATCTCGCTCTATCACATTGACAGTCCATTCACTTGCAGTTTTGACAAACATTTACAAACACAAAAAATCAAATCAAGCAGAAACTGATTTGTTCTTTTTGTATATCTTGTTTCCTCCGCTCTGTCTCATGTATCAGCGAGGCAGCTACACACAGTCCAGTCCGAGTGAAACTATGCCGACTTTAATTTATTGCTACTACTATGAATAATAATGTGATACATGAATGGGAAAGTTGGGCTATAATCACTCTGAACACCTCCAATCAATGAGATCATCATCTATCTACACGATCATAGTAGGGATCAGTATCTTGTAATATTTTATTGTCATTCTAATGATGCTGATGTGCAGATTGTGGATGAGTAACATGCCAGGATGTCCTTATGTGTTCAAAGGTGTGTGTGTGTGTGTGTGT